TGGCAAATTATCAAGATTCCTGCCTAAGTCGGGCTTACAATTGGTAATAGAACCAGAAAACCAAAATCACAAATCAAGGTTCTGTCTCCTACTCACAAAAGTTCATCATCTTCGACTGGCCTATATGACAAGGCCGTGGTGACAGTTAACATAATTACAAAAACTTTAAGCCCCTTCTTTTTATGATGACCTATTCGGCAAAATCCAGTCTAAGGGAAAAAAAACCTGGTCATGCAGTACTGCTCGCATACATAAAATCAACACAAAAATTCAGGAAATCCAGATCTTACGGAAAAAGGTTACTTGGAATATAAACTAATAAAATGGAAATTCACGAAAGTGAATCAGCAGAGAGTGCAGTTGGAACTGCTCAATTTAATTAAAGTATTTCCAAATTCCATAAAAGTAGTGCTCAACGTACAAAGTTTTCTTCCAAAAGAAGATAAAAATAAAAAGGAATCAGACAGGCTTACGAAAACAAGCAAATAAATGAACCAGACCTCTTCTCCACATCTGCATCTGCATCTCCATTGTCAATTAGATTTTCATTTTGATCATCATCATCTTCACCATCCGCATCAATAAAATATTTCTGATGAAGTGGCAATTCAGTGCAAAATGATGCCAAATAGATACATTTCATAAGCATAGTAGAGAAAACACAAGGTAATTGAGATGAAAATTCCAAGTAGTAGGACAATGACGAGATAAAAGATCCTGACCTCTTCCTCATCAATAACTTCTCCAGGAACAGTTAAAGGAATAGGCTCAGGCCCCAGTTCATCTCGATAAATTTTCTGCATTTCATCTGCAACTGCAATAGCTAATGCATCCTGGAAGAACAGCAGAGATCATAAGCTGAAATCGATATTCAATCAGAAAAATCAAAAGGAAAAATATGATAATTAGATATCAAAATGTCATTGAAAATTAAATATAAAAAATAACCTGATGGCTTTCATGTGCGGGATTGAATGAGCATCCAGGAGGTTCAACTTCGACAGCAGGTATAACAGAAGGCTTGAATTTCTGTCCTCAATTATCAACAATTAATCCACAAACAACCAGAAAAAGTGAGTACTAATGAAATTGATAAGTTTCAACATTAAACCTTTAGAATTTCAATGGTAAACAGCAAAGGAATATGCCCGTGATTTTCTATACATATACAACCAACCAGATGATTATCCACAACTTCTCAACGTGCAAAATATAATTATTATTTTTTCCCGTCGTAGTTCCCTAGGATTATAGTGAAGCATGGACATCAACCTTATATAATCTACACGATATGCAAATGCATAAAGTGGGTAGGATTTTACCTTTTTAGTTTTGACTGCATCTTCACCTGCTAGAGTAAATTGATAACCTTTTTCAGAAATGACATCTCACACTCAAAATCTTTAGGAATTTTATCATATGTAAATACATAACAAAGGGGAGACCTTACCATCCCACAAATCAACGCTGCTGGAACCTGGTACACTTTCGTCCTGAAGATTGACTCAGGATACATCAAATAAAAATCACACTAGTAACTCATTTCCACAAGTACTCTGAAATATTTTTAAAATAGTTGCTAACCTTCTGGCTATGATCATTTTTATCATTAGTAGTTTGAACAGCTTTTACGTTTTTCTTGGCTTGCTTCTTCTTTTGTATAGAGGACGGAATTGGCTGAACAAAAGGGTTCCTTTGCAGTAGACTGTCACAACGAAGTACTTTTTCTCTGCTTTTCTCAATCTTTCGCTTCACGGAAAGGTCTGCGAATATATTAAAAAAAGATAAACCTCTCTTTGGTTTATTACATTCTCCAAAAGTAATTATGAAAATGCAGAAACATGAAAAACATGATAAAGGTTAAGTATGGAATCAAATAGGGATCAAAAACTAAGCCAAATTCATTGCATTACTGTCCATAAAGTCCATTCCAATTTTGCAACTAAATTATCTGAAATAATCCAACCCAGATGGGGTAATAACTTCTCACTCATTAATAAAGATGAGTGGCTAAACCCACCTACCAACCCAATTTCTTAACTAGATTATTTCCCAGTTAATAAAACTTAACATTCATGATTTTATCTTGCATATTACCTCTGGAGCACTGGACTTGTAAAAACATGAAAAAAAAAATGTATAAAAAATTATATATTTTGACATCAAATATGTGATTCAAAAACCAAGCGAAAAACATTACAAATATAGACTGGTTCCATAAAATTCAAGATTACATTGGATAAACTTAGCTAAAAGAATCCAAAACCGATATGGGAAGTAACAGTTCTAGCCACTTATTCATAAACAACCACAGCTAAAATCTACCTAGCAACCAATTTTATATCAGTAAATCAGAGCCCAGAAACAAAAATTCAAAAATTTCACATTCATAAATTTTATATCTCGTTCTACCTCTGGACTTATCAACGTAAAAAAGGGAATCACTGGGAGCATTAGATAAAGAACCGCCGGAGAGTGCGTCTTTTGTGTTATTCTCAAAGTATTCCTCGATGTCTTCTGTGCTTATGTTAGCCCTCCACGCCTTCTTTCCCTTCCTAGAGCTCTTCGCTTTCTTCCCCATTTTTTCTACACGTTTTATTTACGACCACTTTTGCGTCGGAGAAGGTATCAGAGGGAATGGGGAGTTATGAATGGCCAAAACTTAACCCTAATAGCGCCCCCCCTTTTATTTTTTTTTGGGGTGGCGTGGGTGCCGGGGTGGGGTGGGGGGGCTCAAATATAATTATGATCACCCCCTGTACTTCCAATTATTATTGCTAAGGCATTTCTAAATTAAAAATAATAATACATCCATATTATAAAGATAGTCATATTTCTTTTTTACATAGATTAAAAAATTTAGTTAAGGGTAATTATATTCACATCACAATTTTTATTTTTTGCACCATATTTTAATTGAACATAAGGTTATCAATCTTTCCTCATTACAGCACTTATGTTTCTAACATTTTTTTCATGTCATTTGTATCCTCAAACTTTTCATTAGTTAACACATTTTGTATTTTAAAACAACTTATGTCCAACAATTCGTTGGAATGAAGTAAAGTATCTTATAATTCAATCATTTAAAAAAAAAAAGTGTGAAAGAATATTTTTCTCTTAATTCAAAGCATAAAAACAAAATATTTTGATATAAACCATCACAAGGACAAGACATACTAATTAACGAAATATTGAAGATAATAATTCGACAAAAAAGTTAAGAAAATAATTGTTACAATGAGCAAATATTAAGGAGCTTAACTGTAATTAGATTGTGGTGTATCAAATAAAAATTAGTATTGATCATTTTTTATTGCAATAATCAAGGTAATTAACATTGCAAAGTCATCTGACACGAAAACAATAAAAAAATTGTGAAAATGTGAACATTCAAATTTTATCAAAAACAAAAAAGATTTAAATTGATATGAGCATGACATTTTTCAACAATTTGTATTCACCCGTCAATTTTATTTTCAATTTTTTTAATTGAACTTTATAAATAGCCACATGTAGTCAGATACTGTTGACACATAAAAATTCAGCCCAAATCGAACGGCTCAAGGAATAAAGCTCAATTGGAGGATCTCCAAATCAGATAGCCCAAAGAACGAAACTCAATCAGACAACTCAGGATGAAGGCCCAAATAGGAAAGCCCATGAACGCGGTAATATCATCACCCAAGTTTGCAAGTCGCCCAGGATCTAAGCGAATGGAGTGCCATGCAGTCGCTCAGAACTGCTACTCTATTCTCGCCCAAACTTTCGAGTCGCCCAAGGTCTTAGCAAACATGAAGTGTTGTGGTTATCAAGAAGCGCAATTATCAAAGCAGTTATTAAAACAGCCCTATCACGTTCCACAATTCAAGGAATTCAATTGAAGACGGTTGAACGACAGAGAGTAATGACAGCAGTTAGAAAATGTAGTTCCATGACAAGTTGGCCATTATGAGGAAAGTAAGCAGTTATAGAACGATCAAGCAGTTTTTAGGCGGTTGATCACAAAAAGATCATCCAGAGAGTATAAAAGGAAGAAAAGACATAGAGCAAAAGGAGCCCAAATCAAAAAACTCTCGAATAGAGAACATGTAATTTTAAATTTATTAATTTAGATTTAAACACTTCTTTTAGTAACTCGTGTGCTTGCGCCCCTTGGAGGCATTCTGTTTTTACTTTCCGATTGTAACGTCATCGCCAATAAAGAACACCCCTTTTTGGGACTTTGTCTCAAGAGGTTTATCCCTTACACAATCGTCTGATCCCTTTTTAATTGTTAGCGACGAACCCGCGCGAAACAGATACAGTCACAAGTAAAAGAATGAATAGTTCATCACACAGTACTTTAATTGATTTGAATGTTTTTCCGAACAATACTTCCTCACCCAAAGATATTTATTTACCTTCATCACAAAATACTTTGATTGATTTGAATAATTCTCTTCAAGATGTTAACAATGCCACGACAACGTCGAACACCATGTGTCATAAAAAAGAAAAAAGAAAAATTTCACTTGAGAAAAAAGAGAGCTATCTTTGAAGAGCTACTCCATGAAAGCCAAGATGAAAAGTTATCAAAATGAGTCATTTCAAAAGTTGCCAACTTCTTTTCTATATCTCCAAAATCAGTTTTTCGAATTCGGCATAATGCATATTTTACTACTACAAATGATGATCAACTAGATTTTCTTCAAATCTTGTGAAAATGGTTGGCACGAGAGAATTCAAATAGATTTAGAAAGAATGAAAGATATTCCTTTTCGTCGTTGAATAAATATAAGATCCTTGTCAAGTGTATTGAATGTACCAAAATCAACCTTACATAGAAGAATCAAATAAGGATATATTTGGTTGTACTCAAATCCCGTAAGACCATATTTGATAGATGACAAGAAGAAAGAAAGGTTGGGGTTTTGCTTGTCAATGATTGACAAAGGTACACTTGCATCTAAGCCTTTCTTTGTTAATATGCACAATCAAATTCATATTGATGAAAAATAGTTTTATATGACTAATATGTTACAAAAGTATTATCTCCATCGAATCCATTGCACACATGCAAAAGTAAAAGATTTATTCCAAAGATTGTGTTTTTGGCTGTCGTCCCTTGTGTACAATTTGATGCCACTTCAAATAAAGAATCCAATGGAAAAATTGGAATATGACCACTTGTTTCTAAGGAACCAACTGTTGGGAATTTACTTAAGCATGAGCAGTGAAAATAAAAACAATTTCAATTCCCACCAGAATTCATCTTTGTATTTAGATAAGAATTGTGATAAAAGTTATACATTTTCTTAGATCCGCAAACTCCTTTGCGTTATCTTTGTTCCAGCAACTTGGATCTGCCTCTTACAGCTGTCCAATTGTCCAGTCTCCAATGAATTCTACACAGAAAACAGATTGCAGCTAATAGGGTTTTCTCTTCTTGTGCTAGCAAGAATTATGAGAAATCTCTACGTTTTGAAAACCCTAGCCATGTATTTATAGAAGCTCAAACGGACTTGGCCTGGTCTGGTCCAATATTTAATTAATTCATTTAATTAAATCCGGTTCGTGAATTAATTAATCCAATTAATTAATTCGAGCTTATAAATAATCAACCCAATTAATTAATTTATCCAACGATTATTAAATTAATTAATTGATAAATTGCAATCTTTCAATTCTCTTTTGTGTGCGCCCTATTAGGTTCCTGACCACAATACCAAATAATGTGAAATATTATTTGATCTAATTAAAATTAATAAATTAAAACACCATTTTTAATTTATCAGCAGTTCACACTCGTCGTCCTAAATTAACATCTAACAATGTATTAGGGTAACACATGTGATGGAAAATGTGACGTGGTATGACAAAACCAAACATGTTCGTTTACCATGAACTATAATCTTTTCGCTAATATGATCCGATCAATTACTAGATATGAAAGTGTGTCAATCTCAATTATCGATCATATCTTTCATTCTACTATGAAGTCAATATGAGTCGAAAACTCATTTTCAACTTATGAGTATACCTTGGCCAAAGATTTCGTTATCGACTTAATTAAACAAAATGCAAATCACAATCTCTTACTATTTAAGAGTGACGAATCCTCTATTGGTCATTCACAACCTTCATATAGCTCTTGACATACTCGAACGATGCCGTATTAGGGGCCCTTGATAGAGCAACATTCAACACTTTCAAAGCATGACTGTCCTCATATAAGGCACTATGGCGACCTCAAGTCAAAGGGCCAATTCCACTATCGAACATTAAAGATTAACCATTGACACTCAAATAGTTATCCATATGGAATCTCTTAGCGGGTTTCCAATGTTTCGTTCTATAACAAAACATCAACGTGTTTATTTAAGTGTCACTATACTTTATCTTGTGAGATCAGCTACTTACTTCACAGTAAGAAATGCTACACGTGATGGTCTATCCGTAATAATGATATCTGTATCTCGTTATTACTTATGACCATGGATTATTCAAGATCAAATCATATGTAATTTGCATCTCACAATCACAACTCCTTGTGATTAACAAATCACTTAAATTTGAATCTTCGTACTCTATTATTTAATATTATTTATCAGAAAATTAATTTAAATAAATAATAGATCTTGCCAAAATGAATGTATTAAACATATTAAAAGTATTTACAACTTAAATCAATTGGATTTAGGGCATAATACTTACACCAACAAAGTTGAATAGTAAAAATTGTATAGCTGAGACTTTGGAGACAAAGCCAATTTTGTAAGTTACTAAAGATGTTACTCATTCATGTTTAATTAAAAAAAAACTGTCGCCTTCAATCAAAGGAAAATGGCCATGTTCTAATTCTAGGAACATCTTCATTCAACAAGATAACGCAGAGCCACATTTAGATGTTAATGATGTTGAATTTGTAGAAACTGCGAGAAAAGATGGATTTGACATTCATTTGTGCAGTCAACCTCCGAATAGTCCCAATATGAATGTCTTGGATCTCCGTTTCTTTAAAGCTATTGAGTCACTACAACATCAAGAGGCTCCAACTACAATTGATGATTTTTTTTTCAATTATGGAGAACGCTTTTGACATATATCCAACTACACTTTTAGACAATGTGTTTTTGATATTACAATCATGCATGATTGAGATGCTGGAAATTTCTGGTGGTAATAATTACAAGATTTCGCATATGAGCAAACAAAAATTGATTAGACATGGGCAGTTACCAGATCGCATTGAGTGCAAGTATCAAGTTCTAAATGAGATAAAGGCAGCTCTTTGTGAAAGACATCAATTTTTTATATGTATTTTTCTATTAAAATTGTATTTTTTAGTCTTAAAATGTTTCTTTAGCACCTTTATGATTATTTCCTTTGCTACTAATATCTTCTCAAAACACTATTGCTCGCTTACGACGAGTGTTGCCCGCTGCCACTAGATTGAATGTGAAATGAGATTTTAGTTGGTAGTGATATTACTAGTAGCTAGGCTGAGAAATGGAGAAAGATAACATGTAAAGAAATAAAAATTCTTTTAGAAGATGAAAAGGAAGCCCCTTTAGTATAACTTGTAGGCTTAAAACCTACTGAATGTTTGGAGTCAAAGACAATAAAAATAGAGAGAACCATCTGCAGTTCTTCTGGGTGCACTCAAAGTTAATACTCAAAAAAGAAAATTAGAA